TGCAGATCAATGCCCCCACAGCGAGGGAGTGATTGGGGCTGGGGTTGGGGCTGGGGCTGGGACAAGCTGCCCAGCTGGGGCAGGGAAGGAGGCGGGGCACAGGACTCGGGAAGCGGGGCTTGTGCCACTGTGCACCGCCATGCACTGCTGGTGCAGGAGGGTATGGGAGTGGGTGTGTGGCCCCGGATCTGTGCGGGGCAGGCTGGGCCGGGTTGTACTCTGTAAGTGTGGCAGAAGGCGCTGAAAGTGAGGGATATGCCCTCTCACAACTCGCCTAACTTCCCTGCACCTCCCGGACAAGCCCTGGCTCTGCCCCAGCTGGGCAAGCAGTGGCAGGGCATGGCAGCAGGCACATGCACCCAGATCAGGGAGGGGCTGGCGGCAGGGGCTATGGGGAATTTCAGGGTGGCTGCAGCCCCTCACAGCCCCCGCTCCACTGTGCTCTGCAGCTGCCTGGAGCACAGCCCTGGCTCTGCCCATCCCGTGGAGCTCAGTCTGGTGGGGAGTGGCTGGGACTAGCCTCCCAGAGTGCAGCCCAGCCCAGCCTGCCCTGTGCAGATCTGGGGGCACATGCCCTCTCCAATGCCATCCTGGACTGGTGGCACATGGCAGCGCACAGTGGCGGGATCCCCCCTCCCCAAGTCCTGCGGCCCCCCACCCCAGTGGGGCAGCTTGTCTCAGCCCCAGCCCCAGCCCCAATCCCTCCCTTGCTGTGGGGGCATTCCCTCCCCCCTCTGCCCACCACAACAGACTTACCAGCTGGCAGCAGCTGTGTCCAGCATGGTGAGGATTGCTGCCTGTTTAGTCGATGGCTGAATCTCAGAATCGGTGCCAAATCTTTTCTGAATTCATTCAGAGGCTTCCAATTCTATTTGGACCTTTTAATTGGTCTCCCAGTTCGATTTGGATTTGGAGATTCGGCTTCCAAATTGAGCCAAATCTCCCCCAGATTGAACTGGCTACCAAAGCTTTGCATAGCCCTAATGCCTACACTGTTTCTGGTTTAAAAGTCCTTTCTTCTCTGCTAAAGCAACTGCATGCCATGTTCTATTCTACCACTTCCAGCTTACGTGTGACGGGGATGTTCAGAATAGCTCCAGGCAGCATGTGAACTCAGTGACTGTCCAGCTTGTCCAGTCATTCAAAATGAGCGTTCTGAAACCGTGAAGAAAGAGCTTCTGAGCATTGGGAGGTTGTGTTGAGATTGGAAGGCTTACTTGAAGTTGACTGGAGTCTTTTCAGCTGAGCTGGATATCTTAGGCAGTTGATAATTTCTTGTAAGAAATTAGTCACTCCACTCTTCCGCTGGCAATGACATTGTCCCACAGTGATGTTTTTGTGGTATTTTGGTTTTTGGCCCACTCCTGGCCTGCTGACTTGCCCAGAAGTGTTCTAAGTTTGATGTAAGTTTTTGGTGAAATCCCATTTTGGACCAAACTGATTTATACCACCGAGATGGGTAGAATATGGATTTCTTCCATATTCCTCTAAGCCATTTTTCTCATTCAAAAAGGGATTTTATTACCCATAATGCAATTTATCTCTTTGTTTCTAATGCACAAAGCAGAAATGACAAAGCGAGAATTGAAAAAATAATTGGGAAAAAGTTACTTAGCCAATTCAAATGGTTCCTGGGTCCTCTTACTGGTGCTATTCTGGCTTCAGAGTGAAACATTGTCAGGACAAGCCTATTGTACTTTTGAACCACTAGTTATTTCTTTTTTTATGTGTGTGTTCTGGACTGTGTATCCTTTTTACTATCACACTGTGGGTCTCTACAGTCTCTACCTTGATCAAGCAGCTTATACAATACAGCTTCCCAGTCACAGTGGTGTTACAATGTGACCTCCAAAGGACTCTGACTGCCTTGTCTTGTCACAGCTTCAGCACATAAGAGATCCAGATATAGTCAATGACTCCTCACACTCATCAGTTCCCTCCCATCCTCCCAGGTGTTTGGATCAACCGCTATCGGAAACAGTTGGTGAGGTCCATCTCAGCACAGTTCTTGGAGGAGATTATCTGCTACATGAGGAAGCTGGATGTCCTCACAGCTGAGGAAGCAGGTCAGGTGCAGCAGGTGGGCACCGTATCGGAGCAGGTGAAGGCCGTGATGGATCTTTTGGCCGGGAAGGGCAGCTCTGCTTCTCAGTATCTACAGAACTTCATAGAGAAAAATAATTCCCAGCTCTATCTCCGTATCACTGTCTATGGTAGGTAATGCTGTTCTCTCTTTGGGCAGTGGATCACAGGAGTCTGCAGATGGGTGTGTATTGATACCATGCACTAGCATAGGAATGTCTGTAGTGTGTGTGCATTGATCCAGGTTACAGTTGGTTACTTTGCCTAAGTAAGGACTGACAAAAAATAGTCAGGCCTCAAAGTCTGACTTCATTCTATTAAGAAATGGCAGAAATAATTAGTTCACTGCTGCCAAAATGCAGCCACAGGATTGCTCTGATTGTCAGAGATGTAGCCAATGAAGGAAACTACCCCTCATTCTGCAGTGCCACTGCTTTGAGGTACCATGTGCTTCTGCACTAACTCAGAGCCATGCCAAGGTAACTTGAGCCTCATGAGGAGGAAGACCTGCACCAGACTTGGGCGTAACCCGACTGGCCACTTCCTCCAGTGAGATGAAACCTCCCCGCTGCTAGCTGGCAGAACAGAGTGTTTTTAGCTTGTTGAGAGCAGTTGGAACAGCTGGCAGGATTGAGATAAAACTTTGGGCTGTGCTGTCTTCGGAGGAACCTGAGAAAGGACAGCATTTTTGGTATTTCCCACCCTTGTTAATTGCTGGGGATATTTGCATGAAAAAAGAATCATTGTTGATTCATGCAATTACTTTTCTTTGACAGTGACACTGTCATCTCTGTATTGCATGGAGAAGACTATTTCTGGCAGCTTATGGTTCCACAGTTATGAGGAATATGTAGGAAAGCCTCAGTGGACTGTCAGCCAAAACACTTTAATTAGCATATCTGGTCCCTACGTGGCCTGGAGTCTTGGTACTTTAACCACGAAGTCCCCAGATTCCAAACTGAGCAATTCCATTACTCTGCCTCCTCGGCAGCCCCCTTCAGTGACAGCTCCATCATCTTCACCTCCACCCTTACCTGCTGAATGGTTTTGCAGTGCACTCTTCAATTTTGGTTGTGTTTTCCTTAAGAAATAGCTGGATTTCATTTCTAAGCAAGTGCATCCTGAGAGTCTGCATACTGATTCCTTATGTTTTTAAAGCAGTGTATGATCCTTTGAGATGATCAGGACTATATCACACTACATGACTAATTATGATTATTATAGTTGCTTCTTTTACTAAAACAAGTGTTAGCAACACTGAACCAATATGGCTACAGAGAACAAGGTGTTATCTTATTCTGTCCCACAGACCATCAAGTACCCTAGCAGCTATGTTGATAGCAATGCACAAGGCAGAAGGAATTCGTCTTCTTGGAGTTGGCAGCCTTGGTTGTTAGGGAAAAGATATTATTTAACCATTCTTGGAGGGAGGGCCCATTCTGATCGTGTTATGTGTCTGATGGTGACTGTGCTCTGAATCCAGGGACAGGAATTCAAAAAGCCTGAGCCTGAATTGATTCAATCTTTGCAGTTTAGTCTAACCTGCAAAACTTGAACCAATTTGGACGTGGATAGTAGGCCTACATGAAGCAGCAAGTATTCAATTTGGATTTGGCTGATTCAGGGGGACAGTGATTCTATTGGGTGATTCAAGTCACCATCCTGATTCGATTCGCCTGCCAAATCAGCTGATTCGGTCATTTGGCCAGGGTATAATGGGGAATCACTAAAATACCTATAACTTTGTCATTGTTTTGCAGATTTGGATGAAAACAGCAGGGATGGTAGCCCCTCCTGAGGGCATGAAGCCTGTCAGGTTTCAAGGAGATATGTGCAGGGGCTTCTGTAAAAGTGCACCTCAAACTGTTGAAAGCAAAACTTGTGTCACTTGTGTGTGTTAACTGGGTTTCTGGTTGTAGCCATGTTAGTCTAAGGAACAGGCAGGAAAGGTTCTTTGAGTAGATGTGATATCTTTTATTAGACCAACTAAGTGGTTGGAGAAATTTATCTTGGCAAGTTTTTGGGTTTAAAAACCCTTCATCAGGCGGAGGAAGCTTCTGCAGTTGATGTGTACTCTTTCTGGATGGAATGAAGAGTAAGGAAGCCAGAGGCTGGTATGCAGGCAATAAAGGCAGTCCTCCTTCCCCGTAGCCTCAGCCTAAACCTCCAAGTTCATCCTGGCACAGGAGCTCAGCAGGGAGATGTTCTTCCCCTGCTGGCTGGTGAAAAACTAAACTGCCAACTTCAGCTCTGAGAGCAGGGCATTAAATGGTTGTGAAAGCAACTAAAGAAAGGAAATAGGTGCAGAGTGAGGAGGGTAGCACTCAGCTTGCATGTGGAGCTTGGGGAACCCCAGGAGCCAGAGGTTCACCTCTGGAACACCAGCTGCGCCACCAAACCAGGATCCAAGCAGATGCGGTGGGGTGTCACAACATCCCCAGCAATGCTGGGCACTCTCGCTTGGAACTCTGGTTGGTGGACAGGACAGGTGTTCCCGGGCAACCGTGTCCAGACCCTGCCACATCTGGCTGTGGGTTGCCCAATAGTCCAAGGGGTCGCACTGCAGCAGCTCCACATCCTCAGTGAGATAGGTAGCCACCAAGGCCTCCATGCTACCTGCCAGATGATGGGGTCTGGTGCCTCTGGTCCCCAACATTGAAGCCATGCTCTGGCCCACATTGGCAGCAGCTGTGGTGGAGGAGATTGTCTGGTGGTTGGAGTGCTGGCAAGGGACAGTGGATCCCCCTCTTCCATGTCCCCCCACCTCTGCCCTTCTGCCTCCCTGACTCCATTCACCAGCACCTCTGTCCAGTGATTGAGGGTTTTGCTGCTGCAAATGTTCCCCTTCACCCCCAGGTTGCACATGCCTGCCAGCACATAGACTGTACTGGACTGCAATGAATCCCGCTGGTTTTTGATGCCCTTCTTCAGCTGCTTCACCAGTGCCTGCAACTCTGGTGAAAGTGGCTTGCTCTAGCCAGGAACATTGATCCCCTGGAACCTCTCCATTTGATTCTCAAGCTCCGTCACTGTGGGGATCACCTGGCTAAGGAGGGCATTGCCATCAATGAGGCTTTCGGTGGCCTTGAGGAATGGCTTGAGGACTACCAAGATCTGGGAGATGGTGTCCCACTCAGCTGTGTTAAGGGGGCTGCTGATCTGAATCTCCCTGAGCAAGGCCATCTCATGGATGGCCTTCTGTTGCTCAACCAGCCTTTCGAGCATTAAATATGTGGAGTTCCACTGAGTCTCCACATCCTGCATAATTTTGTGCTGTGGGATGTTCAGCTCTGCCTGTTTGTCCCACAGCATCTTGCCCCCACTCGATGCTCGGGTGGAAGTAGCCTGCCACCTTCCTGCATTTAGAAATGAGTGTGCTGGTGGTGCTGGCACCATCACTGGCAGCCCTTCCCCCCTCCAAGACATCCCTGACTATGAGGTGGAACTTATGTGCCACACAGCAATTGCCAACAAAGTTTTGCATGACCTTGACCATGTTGGTCCCATTGTCAGAGACCATGAAGCCATGGGTGAGCTCAGCCTGCCCTATGCGGTTCATGGCCACCATGATCTCCCTTGCTGTGTGGGACTCATCCATCACCTCCAAGCCCACTGACACCCTGACTGATTGCACCAGTGCTCTGTGAGGGAGAGGTAGGCATAATATGCCTACCTCTCTGCTGCTCCAGATGTCTCAGGTGAAGTGTAAAGCTACCTGTGGCCCTGCCTTCTGCAGCTTCTCCCTCAAGTACACCCTGCATGAAGCACCACTGTCCTGCTAAAGATGATGTGTGCAGGCACTTGGTAGGATGGGGCCGCGAGTGCCATGAGCCACCTGAACCCTGGACACTCAACGAAGGAGAAGGGCTGGCCATCCAGCAAACATCTCCCCGGTGCTCTGGGTGGCCTCGCTCGCCTTGGGAATGCGCCTTGGGACCCTTTGTCCGCACCTTTCCCCTACTGGTCTAGGGTGGCCTACTGCTTCTTGGAAATGGGGGCTTTGGAGCAAGAGGGGGGCTTCTTTTTGGGCATGCTCCCACTAATGCCAGGCTGAGAAGGAACAAGGGCAAGGGTGTGCTGCCTCCTGAGATGCAGCAGCATCACTGTGGTGGTGAAATGTTTCTAGTCCTTGCCCTGGCTGATCTACTTTCGGCACTGCTGGCAGGTAGCATACCTGGGATCATTTGCCACCTCAAAATGATCCCACACTATACTACCCACCCGCTTCTGGGTTGCGGGTGGGGATCCTGCCTTATCCCCCTCCTCAGCAGGCAGAGGCACAACAGGAGGAAGAGCTGAGCCACCTGACCCCACAACCTCCTCTGCAGTGCCTTCTGGAGAAGGAGACCTGCCTCTAGGGAACTTTGAGGGGTGTGGAGCAGAAACTCAGATTCCCCCTCCTTCCCCAGAATTTCCTTGGCTATGGCACGCAGGTCCCCTGCTTCCAGATCCAGCTCTTCCTCTGGCACTGGAAGGCTCACGCTGGCAACTGAATTTGGAGTGAAGAATGTCATGCTGCTGCTGGTTGTGGTTCCTGGTGTTACTGGTGGTGCTGCAGGTGCCCTGTCTAGTTCCCTGGCTTGTCAGATGGAGCCTCTCTGTGACAGGGCAGCAGCACTGGTGACTTGGAAGGGGTAGTGGAGGAGGGGGTGGGGGGTACCAAAATACAAGTTCATCCAGGGCACCATTTTCCCTGAGGCACGCTCTGCCTATAAATGATATTTAACCAGCTCCTCCTAGAGATAACACCATCAAGATCTCCAGAGCCAGTGCCATCGCTTAGTAGAGTGAATGGAACTGGTGAACAGACATTCCTCCAGATCCTGATGAGCACTCCTGATAAACTTATAGGTGGCCACCAGATCACCCCTGAGCCTGCGCTTTTCCAGGCTGAAGAGCCCCATGGCTCTCAGCCTCTC